CCCAAAGCTCAATCATTCATGAAACTTATCTCCGAACTGGGTGTCTCAAATCGTTTCATACTTTAAAACGTGAATATGGAGACCCTAAGGTAGGTCCTGAAACTCGCGAGGTTTCATTTTTCATAAACTATTTTTAAAATACCTATAAACAAATTTGAAACGAATTGAAATTTCATGAGTTTCAGGACCTTGCTTATAGTCTACCTATTCACGTTGTGAAGTTTCAAACTATTCGGTAAACCGAATTGGGAGAAAAGTTTTATAAGCAAAACCTCTTCGACGCCACTTTCACATCACCTTAAGGTGACGTTAAAGGCGCCTTTGAAGGGTCGGCTGCATTTCTTTTTTAAGGGGAAGCGAAGGTCGCCGAGAAATTTAACAGATGGCGATAATAGGAAATTTATCTGTACCCTTTTCGGCGGTAACGCCATTTCGAATGACGGACAGTCTTGTTCGGCACAGATAAAAGGTTAGCCCTTTGGCTACTAAGAGCGCCTAAAGGCGCCCGACGTTTGGTCCAATATTGCCTGCACGGCCAAACGAATTTCGCCCATATGTCCAAATGGCTCCGTATTCAATGGGCTAAAAACAATCTCTGAGAATCTCTCGACGCAAAACGTTCACCATTTATTTTCTAATAGTAAAATATGATAAATTAATCCAATCCTGATTTTTCTTCCACCCGTTTTAAACCTTTGGCTACCAAGAGCGCCTAAAGGCGCCCGAAGTTTGGTCCAATATTGCCTGCACGGTCAAATGAATTTCGCCCATATGTCGAAATGGCTCCGTGTTCAAAGGGTTAAAGGAGGAACGCTCGAAAGAGGAAAATGCTACCTTGTAAATTCCTGCCTCATCAACTCTTCGGAATATCCTTCAGGGCCGTCATTAGTGATCCGCGAATGTTTTTGACAAGACACCGGAAACACGTGGCGAGGCGGCCCGGCCGAGATCGCGAGGCGTACTGGTCTGAATTTCGGCGACGCCCGGCGTCTCGACGAGGGCGCTGCTGTCAGGATTCGCACATGGGGAGAACTCGTGCATCAGGGGGCGAATCGATATCCTGGCACATCTCTCGAAAAAATTGTCCTCATAAACGGGAATACCACACGGAAAGTAAGATTGCGAACGTATTAAAACCCCGGGATTTTTTTTTAAATTTTCACGGCGACCAATATCGCCGCGAAATGTAAGAGAAGGGTTGGGGTTCCATTGAGGGGTGGATCCGGAGACAAAGACGGGATTGATTTTTGCCGAGCCTGCCAGAACCCGAGGGAGTTTGGGAGTCTAAGTGGAGGGTTCGAAGGACTCTCGACAATGATGACGTCACTGGAGAACCCCTTGGGGACCTAATGAAGTTTGCTCGTGAGTAGCGATGAGAAAAATCGGTCTTCGTATTATGACCGAGTCTTGGTCCTTGGTACCGTAAAACGTGCAAAATCAAGACCTGGCCACTCTTACGAGATCAAGATCAAGGACTCGCCTGTGCAAGACTAAGACCAACTAACCATGGTCTAGGTCTTGGTCTTGCATTTACCCATCAATATCAGCGATGATCGAAATCAGTACTTGCACTTTTTGCAAGACTGACCAAGCCATAATTGCAAGACCAAGGTCAACTATTTCACCATCGAGGACCACGGTAGTCTTGCATTTGCAAGACAACATTTTTGCAATTGCTCATCACTCCACGCAGGAAAACGTAATTGCTGTCAACGAGGGACTATTTGCATGAAAATTAATGCAAACGATTTCTTCCTCTGAAAGTCAATTGCCTTTGACTTTTTATGACGAGCAACAATATGATTCGGTAACAAGTGACGTACGGCCTTAAAATCGCAAAAGTGATATCGGTGATTTCCCACGATTTCCCCCGAATTTCAAGCGTTAAAATCCACGACTTCCTAAGTGAATACCCCCTCGGCTCCCAGAACGTGAAAATCTTGAGGAATTCTCTTGGATAGAGGTCAAGAAATTGGCGATTCCACTCCTTCGTCAGTAGGCTAATAAGAGAGATCCCCTTCTCTGCCTCTCGATGAAATCGAGTCGAACGAGCTCCTCAGTGGGATTGATCGACTTTCGATCGAGTGCCACCTCGTTTCTCCTCTTCCCGGAAGTGGTATCGTGGATCCCCCTCCCTCCGTGCCCCACAATTTGCATATCGTGGAGGTCCTCGCGTCCCCATAAGACGTCACAGCTTTCCTGTCAGGTGAGGAGAACCGGTCGTCGAAAGTCGGAGAGTCGCTCGTCGATCAGGCGAGCTCGCAATGTCAAGGCGATTCTCGGTCGTCGAGGGAATTCCGCCTTTTTACGCTCTCCCGAGGTTTTCTCCGGATGGATCGCCAACTGGTAGGACGAGACCGGGGCACGTCCGCGAGATCCCTCGGGAGGAATTATCCTCCGCTAATCTCCAGGGGGGCATATATCGGTAATTCACCGCGGCTCCGTTACCTGGGATTGCCCCCCTCCACGGGAATCCCACGGGACGGGTTCCCCCCGGTCGGATATTGCAGAGTTTCCCGTTCCAGGACCTCCTCTTGGGCCCGGGGAACGCGACTCGCGGTGGCCCCGGGTCGCGGCTTCGTCATGACCTCCCCTGGTCCAGGCCGATGACCCGAGGTCCTGCCTCCCTCCTGGACCGCTCTCCAAGTTCAAGTTCGGCATCCTTCGCCTTCGCCACCGAAGATGGAAGTTCGGTCCCTTCTGTAGGGAAATCTTCATATAGGGTCGCCTCGGGTTCGAATTCGGCATCTTTCGTCTTTGACCCTGCAGATGAGATGCTTCGTTGCAGTTCTGGGTCCTTGTCATTGAAGAATCGGCATATCCTTCTTGTGATTCCGCTTCCAGTTCGGCATCTTTCATCTTTGACCCTGGAGATGAGAAGCTTCGTTGCGGTTCTGAATGTTTCTCATTGAAGAATCGGTGTATCCTTCTTGTGGTTCCGCTTCGAGTTCGGCATCTTTCATCTTTGACCCTAAAGACGTCTAACATATCCGATGAACGCATTACGTTTCATTTGACTAGGGTGTGAAGGGGTTAAAATTGAATTATGCATTCTTTCTTCATTGGGTCAGTTTAGTATACCCTAACTAGAACNGGGTCGCGAGATATCTCGTCAAAAGCGTTAATCGGCCAGTATTGGGTCGCGAGATATCTCGTCCAAGGTAACGAAAGGGTTAAGACGAGATACTTCGTTACAGTTCCAAATCCCATCCCTACAAGAATCTGTATAACCTTCCTTTTGTTTCCCTCCAAGTTCGAGTTCGATATGCTTCACCTTCGCGACGAAACTCGAGAATTGCGGATCTCATTCATAAAAGAATCGATCCACTCTTCCTCCGGCTCGTCTCCTAGGAGAGCCCATTCTCGTCGAAATCCAGGTCGCAAAATGGCGTCGAGCCACCGCGCCGCGACGCTCCTGGATCAACGTCCGTTCCGGGCCGAGTGGCCGCCGTAATTAAGCGCGCTTTCCTGAATTGCCGCGCCGATTCCGCTCCTCGTGGCCGCGTCCGGCCATAAGACCGGCCGTCGCGGCCGTAAACCGACTCGCCGGGGCGTTTCGGTCCGAGACATGCGGCCCGGCACGAGCGGTCGATTTCTGTCCCGAAGATAATGCAGTTGCACCTGCAAGGAGTCCCACCGGCTCCAGAACCCCGTGACGACCTATCCGGTGCACTTTGGATCGACCAAGGATGCAAATGCAAGACCAAGATCGATTGTTACTGATCGCTATCCTCATACCCTGCCTCTCGATCCGACCCCTAGACTAAGACCTGGTCTGGTTTAGGTTTTGCACCTTGTACACTTTTGGCAAGATCAAGTCAATTTTCTTCATCGCTCCTTTCGATCTGACCTCAAGTCCAAGACTACGGTGGTCTTGGTCCTGGACTTGCACTATATGCACTTTCTGTTAGCCCAAGACCAAGATATCATATTCTTGGTCTTGATTTGCATCTTGTGCAGTTTCTGCTAGACCAAGATTAAGAACGAGACGATAAGATCGAGATCGATTCTAAGCCCATGATGGTCTGGTTTAGATTTTGCACCCTGTACACTTTTGGCAAGATCAAGTCAATTTTCTTCATCGCTCCTTTCGATTTGACCTCAAGTCCAAGACTACCGTGGTCTTGGTCTTGGTTAAGGCCAACTTCAAGACCAAGACTATCAAAATCATGTTCTTACACTTGCACTGTGTGCACTTTTCTTAAGACCAAAACCAAAACCGATTTTGGTCATTACCACTCTTGTTCTCCGTCTTCCGATCTTCTAAGACCAAGATTTTGGTAGTCTTGGTCTTACCCCACGTGCACTTTTCCCAAGACCAAGACTTTGGTAGTCTTGGTCTTGCACCACATACACTTTTCCCCAGACCAAGACTTTGGTAGTCTAGGCCTTGCACCACGTACACTTTTCCCAAGACCAAGACTTTGGTAGTCTTGGTCTTACCCCACGTACACTTTTCCCCAGACCAAGACTTTGGTAGTCTTGGTCTTGCCCTACATGCACTTTTCCCAAGACTAAGACCAAGACCGATTTTGCGGATCACACACCTTTTTCCTCCCTCTTTCGATGCAACTCCAAGACCAAGACCACCAAACTTTTGGTCTAACTCTTGTCCCACGTTGACTTTTCCCAAGACCAAGACCAAGACCGATTCCGCTCGCCACCCTGCTCTGGATCCGACCGCGCTATTTCGGGAAGTCGAGCTCCTTTCCGCCACGGGGCTTAACAAACCGCGTTCGGACTTCTCTTCTCTCGGGACTTTCGATTACCTCCGGGAATCTTCCACGGATCCCCTGCCTGAAAACGGGGGATTTCTCCGACCTCGAATGCGGCTAATTAATTCCAGTCTAGACCGGCGCCTTACGACTTCCCGGAGCCCGTTGGCTTCGCCTCGCTTACGTCCAGGTTACATTAGAACGAGCCATTAACGAATTCCGCCTTCCTTCCCGCGATTTTATCAGCCGTATAAAAAACAAAAAAAGCAATAAAACGGAACGAACCTCGCTAGAGTGTCCTTGGTGTAGTCCTCGACTACGGCCACGACGGAGGACGTCGCGACGACCATCCTCGAGCTCCCATGCCCTCCTCTCGAAGGACCTCGATTGCAGCCTCGACCTCGACCTCGGCAAGAGTCCTGACCGCCGGATGACTCGACAAGGACCTCGCCTACGGACTTACGGTCCCGAGTCGTAAACCGGGACACGAGTCAATCGCCTGCGGCCACTGTCTGGCCACTGCAGGGATGACTCACTACGGTACACTTCCCTGACCCTTGACCACCATTAATGTACGTTCACGCGGCACTAAAGCCACCTCGTGATCCTCCTGTGGAGAGCGGGTCAGTTACAGCCTCCGGCCGAGAGATCCGATCCGATCCGATCGATCACTCTTGCCGAAAGGAGCGATGTTCTCGGTCATTCGTATAATCGATCTCCTCGTAGATTCTTGACCGATTTCTGAAGGTGGGTCGAGATGTGAGCGTTACAACGCGCAGAGTGCAATAGGGTGTGTGTGTGTGTGGGTATATAAATTTTGAGCGATGCTCTCGGTCTTTCGGATAATCGATCTCCTCGCAGATTCTCGATTGATTGTTGAAACTGGGTCGAGATGTGAGCGTTACAACGCGCAAAGTGCAATATGGTGTATGTGTGTGTGTGTGTGTGTGTGTGTGTAAATTTTGAGCGATGCTCTCGGTCTTGCGGATAATCGGTCTCCTCCTAGATTCTCGACCGATTTCTGAAGGTGGGTCGAGATGTGAGCGTTACAACGCGCAGAGTGCAATATGGTGTACGTGTGTGTGTGTATAAATTTTGAGCGATGCTCTCAGTCTTTCGGATAATCGATCTCCTCGCAGATTCTCGATTGATTTATAAAAGTGGGTCGAGATGTGAGCGTTACAGCGCGCAAAGTGCAATATGGTGTGTGTGTGTGTGTGTGGGTATATAAATTTTGAGCGATGCTCTTAGTCTTTCAGATAATCGATCTTCTCGCAAATTCTCGATTGATTTCTCAAAGTGGGTCAAGATGTAAGCATTACAACGCGCAGAGTGCAATATGGTGTGTGCGTGTGTGTGTGTGTGTTAATAAAATTTATAGCGATAGTGAAATTTTGAGCGATGCTCCTAGTCTTTTGGATAATCGATCTCTTGGCGGATTATCAACCGAATTCTGAAGGTGGATCGAGATGTGTGCATTATAGCGCGCATGGTGCAATATGTTGTAGGTGTGTGTGTGTATAAATTTTGAACGACGCTCTCAGTCTTTCGGACAATCGAAATCCTCGCAGATTCTCGACCGATAGTACCCTGATAATCGATCCGCCCAAGAATCGTTTGATGTACCGAGAAGTGACGGATAGTGTCCGCGCGTGCTCGGCACGTGCGCAAATGCAAAAAGCCACGTCCAGACGTGAGTATTCCCGCACACACGAACGGCATACAAATGCTGACGTCCGACCGCGAGCACGTCTGCACAGAGGATGCACGACCGAGATCCGTTGCACGTCGGTCCATCAAAGGATTTTCGAGTTCCTAAATGCGGAACGTACCCTTAAAGTGATACGAAAGTGTCATATCTACATATCAAAAAGTCAAAATATTAGCCAAACTTTTCACCAAACCGGGTGCACCGGATCATTTGAAACTTCATCACGAGATTACGGAGGCCCGGAAGAAAAACCCGATGCTCGTGAAATTTCATTTTTCGAAAAAAAAAAATTCGTATTTATCTCGGACAATTAAAAAAAAAAAAAAAAGAGACATTTTCTTTCATCGAAAAATGAAATTTCACGATCTTCGCGTTCTACGTCAGGGCCTCCGTAATCTCGTGTTAAAGTTTCCGACAATTTGGTGCACCCAGATTGGAGATACATTTAATAAATATTTTTCAATGTTCACGCGAGGTATATAGAATGACCCTTACGTATCACCTTAATATGAAAACCACTACCGGTCTGAACGATACCGCGCCGAGAAATGTTCGCTTTGTTCAACGTTTGAACACCGAGGAAAATAACTAGCGTGACCGTTTGGTTGTTTAAAAATGTCCACGCGTGGACCCACCTCCACGTGTAAACTAGAATCTCGATGTCTTCTAATTTTTTCTTTTTTTTTTGTTTATCCAGATCACCGAATCCCTGATAAGACGTGTCCCGTCTTGGTGACGGGTCTCGATCGCGACGCTCGGCGTCGACTCTTAGCGACGCTGCACCGGGCCCCGAAATCCGGAGGACTGGCTGCACCGGTTGCACCAAATGCACCGTCGACGCGCAAGACGAGAGGAAGAGGATCCGACTGAGAGCATTCGGCCGGCGGAACGTTCACCTTGCTTCGAGCACGTCCACGCACACTCTGTGCGTGCGGGTGTACGTCCACTCGCGTCCGGTCGAGTCGACCCGTAGGGGGAGCATCTCTCCGTGTGTCCCCTCGCGTCCCATGGAGGGGCCCTTACGGCGGCCCGAGTTTGCGGATAGTGTCCAGAAATGTCGCATACCCGGAAACGTTTTTTTCAGGTTGGTCTTCTCTTCGTCGTAAGAGATAGACTTCGTTGCCTACTACGGAGGTCATGGAGGTTCCTGGTCGATGGTCCCTGATCATTGGCTTGTGGTTCTTAGTTCCGTATGTTCTCTTACGCTTCATGAAAGTCTCTTATAGGATCCCGAGTTTGCGGATAGTGTCCAGAAATGTCGCATACCCGGAAACGTTTTTTTTTCAGATTGATCTTCTCTTCGTCGTAAGAGATAGACTTCGTTGCCTACTACGGAGGTCATGGAGGTTCCTGCTCGATGGCCCCTGATCATTGGCTTCTGGTTCCTAGTTCCGTATGCTCTTTTTACATCCCCCAGAAAGGCCCGACTTTGCGAATAGTGTCCAGAAATGTCGCATACCCGGAAACGTTTTTTTCAGGTTGATCTTCTCTTCGTCGTAAGAGATAGACTTCATTGCCTACGATGGGGGTCATGGAGGTTCCTGGTCGATGGTCCCTGATCATTGGCTTCTGGTTCCTAGTTCCGTATGCTCTTTTTACATCCCCCAGAAAGGCCCGACTTTGCGAATAGTGTCCAGAAATGTCGCATACCCGGAAACGTTTTTTTTCAGGTTGATCTTCTCTTCGTCGCAAGAGATAGACTTCATTGCCTACTACGGAGGTCATGGAGGTTCCTGCTCGATGGCCCCTGATCATTGGCTTCTGGTTCTTAGTTCCGTATGTCCTCTTACGCTTCATGAAAGACTCTTATAGGATCCCGAGTTTGCGAATAGTGTCCAGAAATGTCGCATACCCGGAAACATCCTCTTCAGGGTGGGCTTCTCTTCGTCGTAAGAGATAGACCTCATTGCCTACTATGGAGGTCATGGAGGTTCCTGGTCGATGGCCCCTGATCATTGGCTTCTGGTTCCTAGTTCCGTATGTCCTCTTACGCTTCATGAAAGACCCTTATAGGATCCCGAGTTTGCGGATGGCGTTGAGAAATTTTGCAAACCCGGAAACGTCCTCTTCTGGGTGGGCTTCTCTTCGTCGTAGGAGATGGACATCATTGCCTACTAGGTCATGGAGGTTCCTGATCGTTGGTCCCGGATCACTGGCTCCTGGTTCCTGATTCCGTATGCCCTTTTACACCCCCCAAGAAGGCCCGACTTTGCGGATGGTGTCCAGACATTTTTCAGACCCGGAAACTTCCTCTTCAGGATGCTCTTCTCTTCGTTCCAAGGGCTTGCTCACGGCCCATTGTTCCTGGCTCCATTGACCAATCCAACGGGACTCGTTGTGAGGGCCGACGTCACTTTTAGTCCACCTCCCCTGAATCGCGACTCCGCACAAGGATTCCGTTCTTGAAATGACGAACTTCAACCCAAGATACTTCTCAATTTCCCACATTATTCTCAATACTTTAACGTAACCCATACGAAGAGAGCAATCTTCCTATATCCGCAAATAATATAACAGTCTATAAAATGAGAATTATCAGATAATGGATGATACATATTCCCGACTCGCGAAAGCAAACCACAATTATTGGGTAATATCGATTTAATAATATCGATTTAACCTGACTTATACCAGTATTACCTCTGGCTACTAAGAGCGCCTAAAGGCGCCCGACATTTGGTCCAATATTGCCTGCACGGTTAGACGAATTTCGTCCATATGTCGAAATGGCTTCATATTCAAAGAGTTAAATTAGCCGTCTATTTGAGTAACTAAAACAAGTATAAAAGATCCCGATGATTTTAATAATAAAATCAACGATTTTTTGTTTGTAAGGAAATCACGACTTTTATCAAACTTCGTACAGGTACTCTGCACGGATGCGTCACGGATAAATTCGAATCGGCCTCAACGCGCTTTCCAAACGTCGCCGTGCGTGTCATTTTATACGACAATCGTTGGAAAGAGAGAATCGAAGAAGGATTACCGGAGGAGCGATTTTAGGTGCGTGTCAAAGGAGAAACGTAGGTGCGTTTCGCGTGCCTCGGTTCGTCCTAGATGCCAATTGCGTGTATCCCGTCATGATCGTGATCTTCGTATCCGGAATCGCGTGAAAAGGGACCGCGACGACTCATTTCGACTAAACAAAGGGGTTCTTCGGGTTTTTTTAAAAATTGTAGATTCGGTGGACTTTTGCATTAGATAAAAATTAAAAAAAAAAAGGGACCGCGACGACTCACCGACTAAACAAAGGTGTTCTTCGGGTTTCTTAAAAATTGTAGATTGAGTGCTTTTGCACTAAATAAAAATTAAAAAAAAAACAGAGAGAGAGATAATTTCAAGCTACGGTCTGAGTCGACGACTCACTTCGATTAAACAAAGGTGTTCTTCGGGTTTCTTAAAAATTGAAGATTGGGTGCTTTTGCACTAAATAAAAATTAAAAAAAAAACAGAGAGAGAGATAATTTCAAGCTACGGTCTGAGTCATATCCCGATCTTACATCACGAGTAAATAATCACGTATGCACGCACACGGTTCCTCCCCAACCTCTGCTGGAAGTAACGGAACGTCCGAAACTCGTTCCAGCCGAGTCCGCCGTAAATCTCGGCCCTAAGACGTCGAGGAAGCCGATCGCCGAGAGGAAAGGCGAGGAAAAAATCTCGGCAATGATCTATCCCCATGATGCAGAGAAGACAAGTCGCCTCTCCGTGGCTATTTCGAAGGATCGATCGCAACTAGACATCTACAGCCCAACCATATTAGCCTATGTAACGAAGAGTAATTTACGAGGTGCAATAAAACAGTTTATATCCAGTAATAATTTCCGCCACTTCAGTCGAGTCCTCACATCATTTTAGCGAACGTCCAGGCATTTTTAGATATTCCAAGACAGGATTAATTTGTCGTACACGAAAACCGCGGTTATATTGGCGTATGACGGTGTTTCGGAGCACCCTGAGTGAAACATTAATAACTTGCGGCAATTTAAATGTTTCTTGCAAAAGATACTTGAAAACCGCAGTCATATTGGCGTATGAAGGTGTTTCGGAGCACCCTGAGTGAAAAATTAATAATTTGCGGCAATTTAAATGTCTCTTCTCATATGGTTTTAGCGAACGTCCGGGCAGCATTTTTTGATATTCATAAACAAGATTAATTTGTCGTACTTGAAAACCGCAGTCATATTGGCGTATGACGGTGTTTCGGAGCACCCTGAGTGAAAAATTAATAACTGGCGGCAATTTAAATGTTTCTTGCATAAGATACTTCCTGGCTTCAGTAAAATTGATTTTGTAAGAAGCAAAGGTGCAATCCAGATAATGGCAAGTTAATATCAAGTGGAAATGATTTTACGATAAGAATTTTTATACCTAGTCAAAATCTATTCACTGATTGAACAGTGAATTTTCATAACGTTAATATCAAGTGGAAATGATTTTACGATAAGAATTTTTATACCTAGTCAAAATCTATTCGCTGAGTGAAAAATGAATTTTCAGAGCGAAATTAATAACTTGCGGCAACTCGGATGTTTTGTGAAAATTAAATTTCTTGGTTTTCGTCATTTTCTACGTGTATATTGCAACGTATAATACTTCACATAATATACGTGATTTTATACGTGTAAATTACAACTTATAATACTTCGCGTAATATACGTGATTTTATACGTGTATATTACAACCTATAATACGTCCCTAGTATCCTCCATAAACGCGAAGTACATTGCACCCTTCTATTTCTAAATAGAAAATAACGAAGTTACGTAGAAATTGGATATTAAACAGGGTTAAGTCGAAAGGATTTTTAACGCGTGCCAAATTGATTCCTTAAAATGTTTACGTGTATACACGTACACTAAAAGACGTTTATAACTTAGCGAAAATATACATATATCATGTATCTGCGGCATCCGCCATATTGGAAATGTAAAATTCTAAATAATCTTCAACACAAGTCCGGAATTCATGTATTATTCCTTAAAAGTATTTACGTGTTTACATACGCGTTAAAAGACGTTTATAACCTAATATATAAATATTATACATCTGCGGCATCCGCCATATTGGAAATGTAAAATTCTAAACAATCTTGAACACAAGTTCGGAATTCATGTTTAATTCCTTAAAAGTATTTACGTGTTTACATACGCGTTAAAAGACGTTTATAACCTAACGAATTGTCATATATCGTCCATCTGCGACATTTTTTACATTGGAAAGGAAATTTACTGCTTTTCTAGGATTTTCAAAGGTAAACAACGTTTATATAATATACGTCAAAAACCTGGAAAAACGGGAAATTACCAACCCTGGACGTATCGTACGTGGGTAAATCGACCTTAAATCGAAGCCGGAGCACGTGCGACCCCCCGCGTGGCACGCACGTGTGACACGTCACGGCCACGCACGGCTCGTCGCAGGCCTGCAGCATGCGAGCCGCGATTATTATAAATCCCGTTAAAATAAGCCCCACTAACTCAGGCCTAATTACGTCGATCTAAAGCACAAAACTTCGTCAAGGTACATTACGGATTCAAGGCGTGGGTAGCGATACATTGCACACGCGTAGAGTCCACTGAGGTCGTGACTCAGCCGTGACGACACGGTTACCCGTACTTAAAATAAGACGGGATAGACTAATACATCGAATCCCCGATTTATGAAAATAAATAATTCGCCATAATAACGCGATAAGTCCTGGAAGGCGGAGATGAAGATATCGACTCGCCGCCCGAGGAGCAAGGCCGCGAGATTGAGGTTAAGTCGTCCGTGGACGTGAATGCAACCCGACTCGCGGATTCGTGGGAGAGCATTCGGGGCCCTGATAACGAAAGATAATTCCGAGCCACGTGAGGGGTACTAATTCACGTGAATTAATTCACGTATCCTCGAAAAACCCTGGAAATCCGGTGGCCTGGATGAGGCGAACGTCACTGGGAGTCGCCGGATAGCAGGGTGTATTTATATTTATTAAACGCCTGATAAAGGGTGGGATGAAAAAGTGAGGTTACGTCCGACGAGTCCGGCCGTCAGGTCGAAGGTCTGGCAGAAACAAATCGTCCTCCCTTGGGACTGTCAGACGAATCCGACCGGGGATCTCATGGGGACGTCTAACCTCGTCGGCTTCAGGGAAATTCCTCTCTTAGGGGAATTTTTAACCTCGCCGAATCCGGCCCGGCTCTCCGGCGTGCTAATTTTGCTCGGTCGGGCGCCAACTCCCGACAATTAGGAGCGCGGCGATCGCCGTTTAAAAATAAACAAGAGCAGGAATTGACAGGTTCGGAGCTGAGCGCGTGGGAGACGGCGCGCAAAACCCTGGATAATCGCGCCGACGAGCGACGCCCGGCGGGCCTCGCGACGCCGGGCGCCTCGCTCGCCTCCCGCGGCGCGATAATTATGCAAGTCGCGTTGCATAACCGGTAAATAAAGGCCAACTTACCGCTGATCGGGGCGAAAAACGTCAGGATCGCTCGCAGTACGCACACACACGCCCGGAACGCACGCTCGCGACTCGAGGGCGCCACCTGTGCGCGGCCGACGCCATCTTGGATCGATTGCGCGCTCAAACGCGAAAGCGCGCGCGTTCAAACGCTGCTGGCGCGGACTTAGATTTTGAACCGTAACTAATGAAGTGGTAGTACCTGTAAATTCATAAATTGTAAAAGGAAACCGTTCCCGAAAGTGATATGCTTATTCTCTTTACATTTAATTACTATTTACATTCATTTCTGGGTTTTAGTACTGATCCAATTTGAGGCGAGCAAGCGTTTGCGAGTGCAAAAGAAAATGAGGTATTCGTCAGAAATCCGAAACGGGCCAGGGTAACGCCCGAATTAATAGTTTGCAAGTGAAGAAGTGGAAAAAAAAAGGTGAAGATTGAGAGGGAATGGCGGAATAATCATCGGTAGACTGGAATTTCTCCTTTCTCGTCACTGCTCGATTCTTGTTTAATTTACCAGAAAAAGACCTGGGAACACGAAGCCTCACAAGCGAGGAATTCATTTTTCATTATCATACAGAATATCTATATATATATATTTATTTATATATAATCTATATACGTCCTAAATGGTCGCAACTAGCAGCGTCCGGAGAACGCGGTTCTCCGGGCACCACCATTGTTACATCATCGGATCGAGGATCCCAGGTCACCATCTTTGATGCCTCGACTGTTAATTTCTTTCGAAGCCGATGGCGATAGACACGGCGCGACGGTCCTGCAAAAGTGTAAAGAGACAAGAACAAAATGCAAACGTACGAAAATGCACGGAATTCACAGGCTTACGCCGACCACCTCGAAGAGATTCGAAGAGGCTCGAAGAACAATGGCGTCCTTTCGCCGCGGCCGGAAGGAACCGCGAAAAGTTCGCCGACCGCAGGCGGTCGCATATCCGTATATTTAACTACCTCACTCGCGATTCAATAAATAATCCCATCGTTCCGCGTCGAACAACATTCATCGCGACGGGCGATGGTCCCCGGGAGGGTCGGAAAGTGCCCCACGGGTCTCCGGCGATTTATCGATAAAAAGGACATACATTTACGACTTAATGGGTAGATTCCTAAAGTTACGCCACCCCGACTAGCCGAGAAGCGTGGGAGAACAGTTCCGACACTTCTGGCCTGCGGAGAACTTGACGACCCCGAAGAGGTCGGGTCCATTCGAACATCCGACCTTCGCGAGTCCGGTCGCTTCCTGGGCGACTTGGTTCACTTCAGGAGAGTCGAAAGCCACGGAAATTCATTAGAAGTCTTAGCGTGGCTGGACTTGGTCGAGGACTCATCTCCTGGTGACTCTTGCATGCAGATTTAGAAGGTGTGCGCGTTGCGACAAATGCCGCAACCCAGGGCGAACTCTTCGCCCGTTGGTGGATGCTTCACGTGCAGGGGGCACTCGTCTCCCTCCAGTTGCTGTGCTTTCGGCCCTGGAATACGTAAAGCACATGATAATACCTCTCGCAAGGTGCGCATCTGCATGAGCTACAGTCTCCTGTTTCCGCCTAATCCCACAAATACTTCTTTTCAACGACACGCATAGGAGTATTTACCACAAAAACCTGCTCACTGTGAATTTTTAACACGTTTTGTTTCTTACGCAGGAGCCGAATACAATTTGAACAGTAAATATTGTTTTGTATTCGCAGGGTGCTCATGAAATTTTACTTAAATTACATCAATTGTAAATTAATCTTGGTTAGAGGCTATTAAGGTGAAGTGAAATAGGTCGAGGAACTTGATCGACGTCGATAGAGAACATTTTTCTAAATGCCTACGTTGCCGACGTTCGTTTTTATATTGACAGCTGTGTCGAATTATATTGGGTATTGTACCAAATGGCATACTCCATTTGTCGTTTTCCTACAATAATTATAAAGAAATCGAAGTAAAACTCCAGAAATCCTCTGGATTCATGCTTTCTGGGGCCCTAATTGACTGCAGAGGGACCCCCTGCGCCATCTGTGATTTCCAGGTCAATTGAATTTTCACTTCGAGACCTCGTATTACCATCCTTTTGGCATAGAAGCGCATAGAACACTTTTTTTGCCTTTATCCCGTTCAAATGCGAGTTTATCGACTACCAGAGTGTTCTAAATTGTCGTAAAATTGTCCTGACCTTTTCGATTCTTATATCAGAGCCTTCGATAATTGTATATTGATCGAAATATGAGAGCTCGACGCCATTTTGGTTCCGGTCTGGGCTGAGTTAAAAAATTTGATAAAAAAAATCCAAATTTTGAATGTGTCAGGACAATTCTTAGATGATCAGGAGTGATGTGTCAAAGTTTCGGACAGTTTGGTCTATACCCTTAAAGAAAAGTGTTGTATTCGAATCGACTGATTTGAAGGGGGTTTCACTTCACCTTAAGATTAACACTTTGATCTCCACGGTAGTCAGCAGTCCAGAGCGGTCCACTGGTGACCGCCTAGTGGTTAACATGTTAAAAAGTGATTTTGGTCATATACTCCTACGTGCAATATGTCGTTTTAAATGTACATGGTAATACTACGCATTGATGTACGCATAATTCGAAGCCCTTTAAATAACGCCATCTTATGCAGTATAAAGTATACAGGTCGATGCAGGGATCGCATTTTCGCACCTGCAGGGCAAGCCGGAAGATCGCTCTTCACGATGTTGGTGACTCGCTGGAAATCGTCGTGGCAGGGGTTGCAGAAGTGCGTGGTCCCGAAGCAGAAGAAGACCGCCACCGAGCAGCAGTACCGACACTTGTACTCGAGGAAGTCCGCTCCATGCTTGGGGCACATCTGAGCTCTTGCCACGTCGCTGCACCCACCGCAGACCAGCTCGGTCGGGTCGAAGGATTCGCCTCCTAGTTGCGCGTCGCATCTCGCCTCTCCGCCATAGTAGGCCTTCTGGCACTTGTAGCAGACGTAATAAGCGTACCGGTCCATTGCGTATGCGGCCGGATCTTGATAGTAACGCCCGCCGGGAGCGGTCACGGCTTCGGCTCTAGAATTTGGAAAAAATGTTACACCGTTGGAACATCTCTTCGAAATATTATGCACACGGGATGAAGAAGCTTTATCAAGATACGATATCTTGATATTTAATATGCACCTGTGGTCAGGATTTAAATATACAGGTAGACGAATTTTCGTATCGACTTTTTTCCACCACTTTACGGTCCGTCGATGGTACAAAGCAGCCCTTCATGTAAAAGCTTTAATTATATGGTAAAAACAAATCAGAAATTTTATTCATCATTGTTAATTAATTATCATCATCGGTATCACCATGAATAAATAATCGACACATAAATAGGAGCTTGTATATGGCTTTCATATGGCACTTAAGAATAGCCAAAACAATTGCAGTCAAGAATGCATCAAAGGCCCAATTATCGCGAGGAGAATGGTATACAGTACTTCGTACCGCAGACCGCAAAGTGTTCCCAGCGTAACCACGATCACAAGGAAAGCGGGACAATCGGTTATCCCGAAAGGACTCACTTGTGTAGGCCTTCGTACTCCAGCCTCATGAGAGCCTTTCTCCTGACGTCCTCGTATAGCTCCTTGATGCTAGCCAGCTGTTCCGTCAGGGTAGGATGGTCCATGGGCACCTTGCAGATGGGACAGAACGAGAAGCCGAAGGTGATCCTGGGTCCTGTCCACCTCTTCAGGAGCACGCTCCTGCAGCAGTGCAGGTGGAACACGTGTCCACACTGCAGCTGGATAGCCGGAGCGCAGGACAAGGCCTCGGTGAAGCAGATCATGCACATATCATCCGCGTCCTGTTTGAGGTCCTCGCTGGAAATGCACCTATGAAGACACGGTAGACAAGGTCTCTCGTTCCTGACGCCCCCACAGAGGTGGCCACAGGTGTGCACCTTGCTGCAAGCGTTCCTCGCGTGTTCCTGGCAGTCGTGGTCGGCGCAAACATTCCCGATGGCCAGGAGACCGGTGTTCCCGGTGGTACCGCAGAACCTGCAGACCCCCGAGGTCGTGCCGACAGGTTTCCGTGGAGAACCGTCTCGAAATTCCACCAACGCCTTCAAGGTCCGACTATCGGCCAAGGCCAGGACCCAGAAGAGCTTCGTTCTGCCGCACCCCTCGTGCAGATCCACCCTTATCGCTTCCTCCTCTTCCTTGCAGACCTGGCGCACGTGTAACCGAGTTCTCCTGTGCAGGTGCAACACGCGATCGCAGTCGGCACAGAGATTCCCACAGGTGTTGCACTGGATGATCGCGGTGGTCTCCCCGTCGTCGTGGTTGCTGCAGATTTGCTGAAGAGGTGAGTGAAGAGATCAGGTGAGAATTGCTACCGTGGAGGTTGAGGTGTTGTGCGGAATTGCTGAGGAATTTACCCTAGGCGGAGGAGGTTGGCCATTGGCAGCGTTCCACTGGCCCGATGAGAGTCTCTCTACGTGGTCGGAATCCAGAACACAGAGGGAAGCCAAGGCTAGCCATAATGTAGGAGTGTGGAGGCACTCCGTAGGGTCGCGGCTTCTGTCCTCCAGTCTGGTCAGGTTGACGATGTTCTCGGCGATAGCGGCCTTCGTCACCGCTGCCCAGGACTCGGACAACTTGCCCTGCAATTATGTTACCTTAGTAATGGCACCTGAAATTATAAATTGATCCCACTGGTGAATCTACTCACAGCGGCCATGTGTTTTAGAAGCTGTATGATCACTTCTGCCAGTTTCCGAGGCATGCAGCCCCTGAGGTACCACCTGCTCTCCGCGATGGTTTTGGAGTCGATGCTGGACGCCAGGGTCACGGACTGAAGAGCCTTTCCGTTATTCTCTTTTCCCTTTACCTTGACCTGAACCGTCAAGGCCTTTGCGATGCAGCTCAAGAAGACGTCCAGAATGCCGGCAAATCGTTCGTTGAATTCCTGGGGATGGGTGTAGTTGTTGCTGGCTGCCGAGATGATGCTGAAGTCGGAGGGCGGCAGCCTCTCGACGTTCATCACGCTGGCCAGAGTCTCTGGCTTGATTTCCGGCAGGATCCTCCTCAGCAACGAGGTCACCTGGCGCTGCACCCTGGCCGAGCCGGTGTGCAGCAAACTCAGCAAGTCCTTCAGCAACCCGTACTGATGAGACAGGTAATTCCTCCCCACTGAGCTACCACTCAAGGCCAACACCATCGACAGCATCTCGAAGCAATACGAATCCGCTGTTTTCGGCAAGTCACTGCCCTCGCTGAGGACGCTGTTCGCTGGTGTTGGGGAACATAATAGCGTCTCCCACTCTTCCCGAAGACGGAGGGATTCTTTGCGAATTGCCTGAACTATGTGAGTGCAAACTTGCTTCTGCAGGTGGGTCAATTTGCTCCTGCTGAAGAGGATCCCGACCATGTGCTCGCGGAGGTCGTTGCTGTCCTCCAGGTCGTCGTTGCTGTCTTCCGCCGACTCCTGCGACTGGTCGGACTGAATCAACTTGCCGAATACCTGCGAGGGGACGAAGTTTGTAGGTATTTACTCAACGCTTCGGGACATTGCCGGAGTAGGTCCTGAAATATTTACCTGCGACGTAATCAGCCGGAAGACTTTTAAAGTTTCCACCTCGCAGTTTCGCTGCTGTATTGTGAGCGAACTATGCTGCCGACCTATTTTCAGGGACTCCCCCTCTATCTCGCCCAAAACCCGTATTTGCCGTACTCGCAGCGAGTTGTCCGGCCCCTTTAACTTCAGACCCACCACGACGTGACGTTGATCTAAATTCATCATTTCTGCTATTAAACCTGATTATAAATCATAGAATGAACTAATCAATATGTTGAATTACCTGCAATGGGACAGCTCAACCACCCTGCAGATCTACTCTCGATTTCAATGGTCTTCAGGTTCACCAGCTCGTCCGCGTTGGGTCCAGATTGAAAGATCACGGTTGACACTTTATGCTGTATTAAAAAGGCAATTGTAAATATCGATAGGGTCAAAAAATAGAAAGGAACTATCGTGTTGGATCATACTCACCGTCAGATCGCGACAATTGTCTATGTGAATGTAGACCATGCGAGGGAAGGAGCGAGCACCGCAAATGATGGTGATGGTCTTGGTTCTGTTTCTGTCTTCGTCACCCGATTCCCAGAATGTCTCGGTAGAGTTGTCGGTCAGACTGCCGATCATGGCTTGTCTGCTGGAAGCCTTTATGTCGACGCTGCTGGTGAGGTCCTTGAGGGCTTCTACGTAGCTGGTCACTTGTTGGGAATAGGTCGACTGATGACTCTCGTGCATGCTCATGGTCACGTCCTCCTCTTCTTCAGACCGGGAGAGGATCTTACTGATGTTGCTGAACACGTGGCTTCTATGAAGAAACATATGATCCGCGGGGGTGAACCTGATGCCCCAGCAACGCACTGCTGCCTGCTGCAACGGCGACCCTGAAGAGAACATTTTGTAGCGCGTTCCTAGATAAACTATTACCAATGTCTATTATTAAACGGGGACCCACCAAGTGGAGGCAGCAGCATCAGGTCAGCAATGGTTTGCAGCAATGTGTGGAACGCGATCGGCAGAGGATTCGCAGCTTCGCCAGCGATCACGAGGTCGCTGAGAGGATGCTCCCGCACGCCGCTCATGTCCTGGATCGATTAGTTTTTTCACGGTTTCATTGAGTATATCTTTGTTATTTATTAAAATTAGGTGTTAACGTAATGAAATCGGTAACTTGAAGACTAGTACCAGATCATCTCGCTTGTCCGCTCTGCCGTCGTCGTCACCGTCCACTTCCATGGCGTCGGAAGTCACGGGCGTCAGGGATGCCACGAACCACCAGAGCAGATCGTGCAAACAAATCGGCTGAGTGACACTCCTCAGCAACCAGTTCAAGGCTTGCATCGCGTAGACTCTGCAAGCCGCTCGTCTGAGGGCCTGCTTCATCGCCAGCTGGAGATGCTGAAGATTGTGTTGCTGAAGAATGAACATCATGACAGGCCTGATCAGGAGGTTGACCCTGTCATTGCTGGCGTTTTCGGTCTGAGACGAAGACACTATTGAGGACTGGTCTATCGATGGAACCAACTTCTGAAGAGCAGCCGATGGGTAGCAAAGCAGGGACGAGCTTGCATCTGCTAAACGGAAAGGTACTTGCAATTGTTGTATACTCCTTATGCTACTTTGGGATATCTATTCTAACGTAATGACAAGGGCATACCGTTGTTCATGTCACTGCTGCTGTTGTTCCTCTTTCGCATCATGACGACCCTACCATCGCTGCTGTTCCTCGCCCAAGGGGCTCCAGTGGACATGGACACGGATCTGTGGAACATTCCGCGACTTTTGCCGCTGCTTCCATCGCTGTCGCTCATCGGGCACTCGGACAGGGGCTGAAAGTTGGAAGACCCTAATTTGCATCAAGCTAATCAAGGTACCTCAACGCGCTTAATACCCTACAGTAGTAGCGTGAATCTAGGCTCGATGAAGATTCGCTTACCCTCCCATTGGAGCCAGCAGTTCCCTCGTGGAGATTCTGCTGGGTACTGTGTCTCCTCAGGGTCTCCTCGTAATACCTCTCGTCGTGGCTCTGAGAGCTGTGAATCCCCAGGGCTTGAAGACACTGGAACGGCCCGGTTGGGGGAAACGGTCCAGCAGCTTCCGGGGGACTGTAATTCTCGGCAACGGAAGACAGGGTCTGCGAGGGCCTCCTCTGCTGCTTGGGGATGTTCAACCCTGAAGCGCTGGCTAGGTCCAGCAGGAACATGGCGTTATTCTTCATGATGACATGAGTGTCGTTCCCGATGGGACTGCTGACCGGCGAGGACACCTTGGTCGCGCCCTTCCTTTGGGTGACCCCGGTCACCAACTTCTTCCCCAGCTTGTACTTCCTAGCTTTATGGTACTTCTCCCTGCAAGTGTCGCATATCAGGTACCAGTCGGACTTCCCTACTCCACCTTCTCCACAATTCCCGGGACAGCCGCCTATGAACTTGCCGAACTTGTTGTACCCTTTACCCCCGGCGTACCAACCGCAGCCGGGATGGGTCATCCTCATGTGAGAGGTCACTGGGGATGGGTAACTGAGACCACAGAGGTCGCACATGATCTCGCGTTCGCTGCTAACGCTCTCCCCAGATGGTGTCTTCGCGACTGGCTTGCAGTCTTTCTTCTTCTTACTGCCTTTTCTTTCCCTTTCAGGACCTCGATCTTCCTTCTGACCCTTCTCGGTTGGCGCTCTTCGGGGTATCTTCATCGTCTGCATCTGCATCATCGAGCTGGGAAGCACGCTCTGCCGCTCGATAGCTTGGAGGCAGCTCGTGCTGAGTTCTTCCCAGAGGAACACCAGGCTCTTCAGGGCTGGGGGAAGGATCGCGACCGTCTGGAACTCTGGAAGCAAGCTCAGCTTCTCAGCGGGCTGGGCCTCCTCCTTGATGGAGCTTTCTTGCTTCTTCCGGTTGCGGTTCGCGTTCGCGTTTGCCGCCGACCTGGTCAGGGTCTCCAGAGTGCTCGGCTGGATGTGCAGGTAATTCCCGGCGTTGGTCACCTCGACGGAGTGTCTTTGTCGGGCCTTTTGCTCCTTTGTCAATTCCTGAGAACGTTGATCGCTGGGAGGAGCTGAAGACTGCCTGGTCACCACGAGGGCGCCTTGCTTCGGCATGTTAGGGTGGAACTTCAGGAAACTCGCGCAGGCCATCGCGTCGTGGATGATGCCCTCGTGCCAGAGGAAGGCGGCGAAGACCGCCCTGAGGCATTCCGCTACAGATGGGCTGATGGCTCCTTTCACCTTGTTCTTCTTCAGGTTCAAGGTCCTGCTGGTGTTCGGCGTCTGTTGGCCGTTCGCCGGCGACATGGCGCGCTTCGTGCGAGGCTTCACCGTCTTCCCGTGATCCCGACGACCTGCATCATGCGATTCAACTCTTCGGTTCATTCTTCGGCATCTCCCGGACGGACTCGCGGTGCTCCGATCCAATGATGGGCCAGAAGAAAATAGAATAAAGAAAACAAGGTTACCCAGTTTCGGTGAGTGGCGCTCTTCCTTCATCCCTGAAGACCCGATGCTGAAGTGGCCCTTCATCGCGGTTGCGGCACTCTCGGGGCTTGTCTGCGTCTGCGCCTGGGACATCGTCCTGGGACTGTCCTGCGAGTCCTGCCAATCCCAAGAGTCATTTCTCCTGTCACCTTCTTCAGGGTCGGTGGCCTTGAAGACTCTGACACTTACTCCGCGGTCCCTCCTGGGTGTGTCCGGGGAACTTGAGATGCTCCCTTCGGACCTCGTGTGCGAAGAGCTGCTGGGACTTGGGGACACGTCTCTGGTATATGCTGCGGAGCTGACCCCACTGGGGGACTGGGAAGCGTCTCTCGTCAAACTGCTGACCAACGCACTCGTGTCGCTCTGCGTGGATCCTCTTCTCTGGGACGTCGCGCTGTCCAACATCCCTTCGGACACTTCGGAGCGAAAATGGAGATACATCATTAAAGTCAACAAAGACCCTAGGAAAAGAGGGAAACATTCTTGAGAAATTTCAAGGCCGCTAACGTGCACTAGACCGTGTGGACTTGCAGGGCAAAGATACGTGCGAGCTGTCTTCAGGATCATCCCAAACACGCGATTCGATCGCGTTTCAAGCGACACGCGATACGGACATGCTGTGTGCGATATGACACTCGAACTCTGGTATTTTCTACGCGTTGCCTGCGGTCGCCCTGAGGAGCGATCGATCGACTTCAAGGTCCTCTTCGGGGTGAACCGCGGACCCGAAGACGGGATAATCAAGACGTGCTTCGCATCTATATATATGCATTTGGCGCGAAACTCTACCAAGTTTCTTAATTCCCGGCAAGGAGACCCTCGATTCTAATTGCCGGTCCTCAGGGTCGACTTTAGGAACTCGGCCGGTGATAAAAGACGAGGAAGACGTAATTCGTGTTGGTGTTCTTACCTAAAGGAGAGAGGCCGACACTTCGAGGGGAGCCGCAGAGCAGAGGGCTGCTGCTGGCACTGTCTGCCTCTCCCATCAAACTTCGCCCACCTGACAAGTTTTCATTAAATTTTCTCTCGCTCTGGAGGTCATCGAAATCGACGCCACCTCGAGCAGGACACGAAGGAGCCGCTTCTTTTATCATTTATCTTGGGTTTTGCCCTTTCATTAAGGGCCAAGTACTATTGTTTCTTTTTTACTCGCCAGCGCTACCTCCTTGATGGTCACCCATCCAAAGAGCGAGCGAAAACGAATTTTGTTTAACACTTTTACAAAAAAGGCCGCCATTTTGTTAATTTATGATATAAATTAATAATTCAGGTACGGGCGATAGCGAATTAAGAATCTTTTTTAATTATTTGTGTCAGATCACCAGGAGGGTTTCGATCACCAGCGCCAGAAATGAAAAATTTTCCTTTACTACTATATGTTTGTAATAATAAATAAATAAATATGTATTTTTTCTATTGAAAAGAATAATATTCCAGTATTCTCATGCATTAGACCTTTCATGTAAAAAAAAGTTTGTGAAATTATATGCAGTACTTTCTGGGCAAAAAAAATGGTTAAAAATGGGTCATTTTTTCGACGTTCACAGTGGTATAGCCCCTTAACTTCGGTGATCTTACGAAACCCTGGTGAGGTGCATCGACGCGGCTTGAGAATTAACCACTTTAGGGTTGAATCCGAGAATCTGATATCAACGATGAGCTTGGACGGCTCTTTGGCTTCTTCTTCGAGTCCTGCTCGGTGGACGGGTGCGGAACTATCGGGTCAAGGACCAAGCATGCTGTCGCGACTTGTCAAATGAATTCCACGTGGCAGAAACGAAAGGACGGGACTTTTCGAGCTCGAACTTCGTGCCTGCGTGCAGGGGGAGGATTGGCTTTCAAATCTCTTCAACATCGGCCGCGCGTGACGTCTTTTTTAGGGGTCAGGCAATTGCACTCGTGCTGGGACACTCGTGGGACGTGGTAACTTGGCGTATCGATCTTAAGGTGAAGTGAAACACGTCGAGGAACTTGATCGACGTCGGTGGAAAAGGATTTTGTAAGTACCTACGTCGCCGACGTTGGTTTTTATATTATAGCTGTGTTGAATTATATCGAGTATTGCGCTAAATGGTACTCCAGCCAATAGTTTTTGTACACTAGTAACAAAGAAGTCGAAGTAAAGCTTTAGAAATCCCCTGGATTCATGGTTTCAGAGCCCGTAATTCACTGCAGAGAGACCCCCTGCGCCATCTGTGAATCCCATGTCAACTAAATTTTCACTCCGAGACCTCGTATTACCATCGTTTTAGCATAGAAGCGCACAAGACACTTTGTATTTGCCTTTATCCCGTTCAAATGCGAGATTCTCGATTATCAAAGTGTTCTAAATTGTTGTACAATTGTCCTGACACTTTTGTTTCTTATATAATATAGCCTTCAATAATTGGATATCGATCGAAATATGAGAGCTCGGCGCCATTTTGGTTCTGGTCTGGGCTAAGTTAAAAGATTTTGTTAAAAAATCCAAATTTTGAATGTGTCAGGTGCTCACGAGTCATGTGTCAACGTTTCGTTCAATACCCTTAAAAAAGAGTGTCTTATTCGAATCGACTGATTTGAGGGGGGGTTTCACTTCACCTTAATTTTACGTGTGGCCGGTGGAAATCGATAGATACCTGGAGCACTAGTCGCGGGAGGGAAGAGACATTGGCCAGAACCAGCTGGTTGTCGACTGGACCCAGCTAAGACCAACACCACCGACTCGTTATGACCGGTCCAACTGACTTAATGCTAGGCGGTTTCCAAAATGGGTCCCGAGCTTTGACATCGTCTGATGGACTTCGAGGTCCCGGATTGGTTAAATACAATTTTTTATAAATAATCCCGATGACAAAGCTCGGGACGAGGAGGCAGATTCGGAGCGATCGCGACGTGAGGTCTAAGTATCAGCTGGATGTTGACGAGTACGTACCGGGTATGGGGACTGGACTAGAGGAACGGCTCTGAAATCTCGGAGACCCACCTTGGGTGTTTTTCGGAGACGAACTCCTGGAGGTCCTCCTTTCAGGGGACGTGAACCCGTTCCCGTTTGCCCGACTCTCGCCGATAGCCTTGACTATCTCTTTCACGGAAACCCCTACGAATTCGGAGAAGTCTCTGAAAGGTAGAAAAATTCATGTCACCGGAATTCTTCCTTCGGTCAGAAATGATAGCTCTTCAGGGTCGATCCTCGCTTGGAACTTGAATCGATCTTAGGACAATTAACCCCTTGCCGTACCAGTTAACTTGGAAAAATTCGGCCTGAAAGACCCTCACAGGAAGGAATAATTCCTTTCATTCGAAATTATAGTCATGGATCTGACTCGTGATCTTCATGTTTGGCTCGAAATTGTAATCACTAGTCTGATTTGCGATGTTGGTTTTTCAGTTGGAAATTGGTACCACGTGAGGACAGAATTTGTGTCACAAATTGTATTCGCCGAAGCACGGCTAGGGGTTTAAACAAAAATTGATGATAGGGATTCACCTTCCTGGGGAACTCCTCTTTTCCCCTTTATCGTCCCCTCTGAGCCATTTCTGGATAGCGCTGAACTTTCCGCCACCCTCTCGCTCCCTTTCCTTGGCCACCCTCTCCTTCGAGTGCGGCTTCGTGAACTTTGGGGACACGTCGTTCCTTTCCGGGGTGCACTTGTCGCTTCCTGAGGAGTGAAAGCCACGGATTAACTTTTTCCAAATCGAGTTGGCGGTATCGATCGCGTTCGACTCCTGGGTTGATGCTGACTTCCTCCTGGGGAGAAACGTCGGCCTCGGCGTTGCGCGATGATTAATTCATTACCAGGGCTTACCATACCTAGGAGTATAGTACCTGGAGAGTCATGCTGACTATAGGAGCCGAAGACGAAGGGATTAGTGTTGCCCGCGTCGACAGATTTAGGATTGAAGTTCGAAGTACCGAAGTTGAAGCCTTCCTGGCCGCCGGAAGTGACGGAGAAGTCGAAGCCCTTTGTGCCGGGAGAGTACGGGATGTCGGGCAGCATCGGTCTCTTTTCTACAGGGTCATTGCCGAAGTCCTTTTCCGCTCTCATGTAGACCACCCCATTTTTGCCGACTGCCAGAGACCAGGCTTCTCCGTCTGTCACGAAGCAGTACCTCCTGGCGGACTCCTCGTCGATGCGCACCCACGTGCCCTCGGCGTTCACAAACTAAAGAACAATCATCGATATTTATTAGACATCTAACCGAAGCGTCATTACATGTATATAATTATTTTTTATCAGAAACTCTGTTTACATGTTCCTGAGCAACGTAATTAATTCCACGGTGTTCGCATGTATACGTAATTATTTTTCAATAATTACATATATTTACATTTATATTTAATTAGTATTTAATTAGCAGCACTGCCAACTATTCTTAAGCCATGAGGTAATTATTTTTAGCACGTGTATATGTATGTAATTATTTCTTATCAGAGATACTGCTACCATGTTTTTAAGTCATCGCGACGTAAATGTTTGTATTATGTCTACGTAATTATTTTTTAATTAGAGGCATTGCTAACATGTTCCTGAGCCATGACGACGTTCCCTAGTGCCAGCATCCCCACCGGAGCAGCATCCAGGCTGGGTCTGCTCCTGACGTTGTGCCCGGAAGCTCCACACTGGACCACCAGCATGCTCCTCCCGTTCTCGAACGTCACCATCTTCCTCTTGCTGATAAAAGATCAGGTTATAAATTACCCTACATGTTCAAACAAACCATGTTACGCTTCTTAAACCAGTCAACCGATCTTACTTTTCGTTCACTTCCGACTTCTTCTTGTGAATGGTCTCCTTTATCACGTGGTCCGGAATAGATTTGGGCTCCTCGACCGGGACCAGAAGAGTCCTCCCGAAGTGCTGATGATACTGCAAGCACCAGGCTTCTAAATGCCCCTGATTGCAGTATTCCTTGATGGTCTCTGAGTTCAGTCTAAGCCAGACACCATCGTCGTTGTGGACCTGGAGATCGGAGAAGGATTTGCCTTAATAAGAGTACCAGGTTATTTTCTAAGCACCTTAGAAATCCTCCAAAAACACTCCACCTCGTCCACGAAGACTATGGTCTCGTCCACAGGGACAATCCCTATCTGTTCGCTCTGGAGGGAGGGATGGGCCCTGATCCTCAGTCCAGCACTGTTCTTCATGACAAATTTCCTAACGCGAGTAGGTTGATGAGGCTTCTTCGCGACACTCTGAGTAGGTGGCTGCACCCCCTGGTGAGGTTTCTTCACCTCCACCGTGTAACTCTGGAAAAACGAGGAGAAATATTCCACCCCTCTTCGAGATCTCCTTCATTTTAGGGAACTTACGTCTTCCATGGCGTATCCGTCCACGGTGATGACCAGGGAGTACCATCCCACGGATGATGGGGTCCACGTGGCGTTGTAGCTCCCGTCCCTGTTGGACCTGACCAGCATGCTCTTGCTGGACCTCTTCAGGGTCGGCGAGGTGTACCTCAGCTCCTCGAAGGAGTAATTCTGGTAGGCCTTCATGATGGTGATCGCGTAGAAGCACATCTTATTGTTCACCGTGACCTCGTAGGGCACGTCCAGAGATGGCTGGGGATGGCCTCCGAACGTCATCGGGTCCGGCTGGGAGACTCGTCTGATCTTTCTTCCCTGGTCCGAGTCCGAGATGTCTTTCTTGTCTATTGGCACCGCGTTTACCTCGATTTTCAGACCTGGCACGTACACCACGTCTCCGTACTGATCTCTGGTCAGGATCGTTACTATCGCTGGCCATCCGCATCTCATCCCTTCTCGAGAGTACAGGGCCTCGCATTTCGTCGGGTCCACGAAGCTGTCCGGCTGCAGCCATCTCGCTAATCTCCCGCCGCTGGTCCCGGCGGAACAGGAGACGAAATCCCGCAGGAAGAGCCGCTCGTTCGAATGGGAACTGCAATGAGGAATAAAAGGAACGAGGCTTAGCAGGTGGATCTAATTCGTCACTTAGGCGCAGCTTCTTTTCAAATATATGCCCTAATAATATAGAATAATTTCTAAATATTTCTCGCTAATCTCCCGCCGCTGGTCCCGGCGGAACAGGAGACGAAATCCCGCAGGAAGACCGGCTCGTTCGAGTGGGAACTGCAATGAGGGATAAAAGGGACGAGGCTTAGCAGGTGGATATAATTCGTCACTTAGGCGCAGTTTCTTTTCAAATATATGCCCTAGTAGTATAGAATAATTTCTAAATATTTCTCGCTAATCTCCCGCCGCTGGTCCCGGCGGAACAGGAGACGAAATCCCGCAGGAAGAGCCGCTCGTTCGAATGGGAACTGCAATGAGGAATAAAAGGAACGAGGCTTAGCAGGTGGATCTAATTCGTCATTTAGGCGCAGCTTCTTTTAAAATATATGCCCTAGTAGCATATATTTCAAATGTTTGGTAAATATTTACAAAATGTACGATATTCGTTAAATATATAGAAAATATAGGACAAATATTTTGTGCTACTAGGGTGCACATTTTATATCCTGCATCCTAGGTAAACGCGAATTTTTAAACGTAACTTCTAATGTCACGGTAGGAAGTTCACATGTTAAGAAATAACGAAAAATGAAATGTTTTATCTTTTTGATTACAGTTGATTACGGTTTGTATACATTTTGGGTGTATATATTGACGTTTAGTAGAATTATCAGAATGTCTGGCGTTTTTTTTTTAAACTTCTAATAATTACCGGTGGACAAATTCTGGAATCAACTTCAAGCAGCGTTTGTGCACCATTGATAAATTGTTATGTCAACTACTAGGTTATCTGAATTCAATGCATCATTGAATCCAAATCATGATATAATTTTCATTATATAAAGTTCTCAATATTAGAGACCAATTTTGTCCCGTGAAATTCTTTTGCAACCCTGAAAGAATTCTTGCAGAATCAACATTACTGGATCGAAAAAATGTCTAGCAAGAAACACTCAGATTGCGGCGAATAATTAATTTTGCTTTGAAGGTGGATTTTTCACCCGAGGCATTCCGCGAAAATTTTGCGGTTCAGTTGAAGATATTCAATCGTGAAGATTTTCTTTAACCCTGTGAGCACGGAGCCATTCGACATAAAGGCGAAATTCGTTTGGCCGTGCAGGCAATATTGGACCAAACGTCGGGCGCCTTAGTAAGCCAAAGAGTTAAATCTTCTTTCTCGGACGCAAATGGCTCTTTCGGTAAGACCCTCAGGATTGGCCAGGGTGAATTTCCGAACTGGAGGCAATCGGCCATGGTGGGTTGGCCTTGTTAAAACGAGTTTCCCGTAAAGAGGACTGCCTCTAATTGGCACTTCTCCAGGAGACTCCTTGGCTCCCGTGGCACACCATGAAGAGCGGCCAGAAGAGGACGACGCTCCGCGAGCTGACCAGACGATCCATGAAGTTCCCCTCGCGAGGCGATCCCTAATATGGAGCAATCACGTCTCGACGAGTACTCTTCATGGGCTCCGGGTTTTAACCCTATCTCCGGTAATGACCGATCTCTGTGCGCCGGCCAAGTTGATTGAACTCCGGATTATCTCTGCAATTACCAAGCCCTTCTGCCCCCCTTTATCAAATTGGCATACATCAGAGGGAACGCAATTTTCCTAAAAGAAGTTTCAACTGTGTGAGTTAATACCTATGCTTAGTGGTTTCCGAATTATTCATCTTCTTTTAAGGTAATATGAAAGAATATATATATCGCTTGAATATGTTTATTACATGGATAACCAAATATTTACCAGCCATGATAAAGTTTTGCGATGAATAGCTTTTGTTCGTCTGTGCCAAATATTGAGGTAGGCCTAATAAAACGTTAAACTAATATGGTGAATTCACTCCAAACATTCGTATCATCGAATAATACATCTTTCGAAATAAACAAAACGAGATTTAATAAAACACTGTAATTAACCGAAGCAAACGAATGATGTCAAGTGAATTAAAATTCGTATTTCTCGACGAAAACGTATGGTAAATTCACTCAAAACATTCGTGTAATCGAATAATACATCTTTCGGAATAAACAAAACGAGATTTAATAAAACACTGTAATTAACCGAAGCAAACGAATGATGTCAAGTGAATTAAAATTCGTATTTCTCGACGAAAACGTATGATAAATTCACTCAAAACATTTGTATCATCGAATAATACATCTTTCAGAATAAACAAAATGAGATTTAACAAGACCCTGTAATTAACCGAAGTAAACGAATGATGTCAAGTGAATTAAATTTCATATTTCTCGACGAAAACGTATTCCGAAATGGACCTAACGCCTTCAAACAGTTTCGTAGAATGAACAGAATTTTCTTTTTCTGCGGGATATAAAAAAAAAAAATAGAAGTGAGCCGGAAACGAAATTCCGACGCTTTAGTTCGGTTTCCGGAAGGACAAATCCAGGCAGATATATGCTCGCTCTCGGTGGCCGGAGTTCGGAACTGGTCGAAACTGTTTTAAACGGAGCGCAGACGTCGGAACGTATTCCAACCTGTTGCATCCGGAGGTATCAGCGACAATCGTATCAAAGAGTTAAGGCCGCCGCTTAAAGTTCGCGATCCGGGCAGAAACCGATTCCCAACCGGTTCGTCCCTTCGGAGAGAGAGAGAGAGGAGTCTCGTCTAGGAGGAAATCTCCTCTCTCCCTCTTCCTCTTCCTCGCTTCTGGTTCTCGCTCGGCCTCGAAGCCGCCACTCGGCTCTGTCTGGCAAAAGAGTTCAGAAGAGAGGGAGTCGCTCATTGGAGGGGAGAAGAGGCCCTGACGTGTTTCCACTCGCCAGTTGGAAAGCAGCCTTCACGATGGTCGCGCCAGCTGGTGCGTAGTGCGGTTTGCGGAACGGTTCGGCACCTCTTCGAGAAGTCGCGTCGAAGGACCCTGAAATCCTGGAAATCGGTCGCTTCCGTCGGCAGGATATCGAGAAAGGCCCCCGAAGAACTTCGCAAGACTCGAGAGCGATCTTCCCCAGGTCATGGCTCCGGAAGAGGGGTCTTCGGGGTCCCTCTTCAGGGACCCTCGATGAGGACTCCCAATTGGTACAGGACCTTTCGTCTTCGGCAGCACGGGGCCGGACTCCAGGAGGCGCTGCGGATCGCCTCTTGCTGGCTCGTCCGGGTCTCGGCGACATGACCGGATGGGATTTCAGCTTCGTCGTCGTCGACGCACCTGCTGTCGCGTTTAGGTCCCGGGGACCGGACGTCCAAGAGGACCCTGAAGTCCATTCTCTCTGCGCACGGCTCAACTTCTGAGGAGTGGAAAGAAGAGGCCGCAACAGGTCCAGCTCCAACCGGTTCCCCCGATGACGGATCGGGTTCCCAGCTGGTGCCGTTCCGCACCTGCACCCTGATCATATTTTATCTCGGAAAGCCAAACGCGGCCGCGAGATTAAGCACGGCTGTTCTCCGATGCTGGCAAGGGCGTTGTCCTGGGTGCCGGATGGGATCGCTGGATCGCTCTTTGGCCGTATTTCTCGATCTTCGGATACGTCTTCTCGTCCGCATCCTCTTCGGATACGTCTTCTCGTCCGCATCCTCTTCGGATACGTCTTCTCGTCCGTATCCTCTTCGGCTACGTCGCTCCTCCCGTTTCCCGTAACCTGGGCCGAAATTCAAGAAATTCAAGAGAAATAGGCCCGATAAAAAAATGCACGGATCGGGAGGATGAGGCATTCGAGAAGGTCTTCTTGAAGATCTTTGATCGAACGATCCAGATGGCTCGTTGCCTCCAGATCTTCCTCCAGGTCCCTCCACGATGATCGCCACGATATCAGGGATCGAATAAATTAATTCCCCAGTTTCGTGAGTGATCTTTGAATCGACAGGTCGCAATGCCGGAAAACGTAGCTAAGTCTCGTCCCGTGATGTGGAGTGAAGTTGGCTTTGTGATTCTTTGGATCTGCGCAGTCGGCGCACTCGCAGGTGCAGAGAGGGTTGGGATATGCGCTATGGATGGCTGCAACTGCACCGTTGCCGCGCATCGCTGGATCACCGTCAAATGCATCTTTGACAGGAATCAGGTGATTACTTCGGGATGTTTTGCCTCCGAGCACTTATTCATTCAAAGAGCTCCTCGGCAACGCGCACTAACCTCGCCTCGTTAAAAATATTCATAAAGTTCGCACGCTTTCAGTACCCCAGGTTGCAATAAAGTCGTAAACTCGACATGCCTCGAAAGTGAACCGAGTTCGTCATAAATTTCTAAATGAATGCGCAATCTCAGATTATTGTCACAATTTGACGAGACCGATACACTTACGTACTAAATTTATGATACATCAAATAAATGCGTTATATCATCAGGATACATTTCTAATAAAATTATAAATGTATGATACATCAAATAAATGCGTTATATCATCAGGATACTTTTCTAATAAAATTAGAAATTCATTCAAATCATTTTTAACGGCGGGCCCTTATTTTTTCGCATAAATTTCTGATCTCAGAGTACCGCGTCTTTTTTTTACAGTCGTGTACTAATGTTACGTATTATAAATATGTTATAAAATTCGTGTACCATATCTGCGTAAGGCTTCCAAGAGATGTTATTAAATTCCAGGATTTTTCTTTAACGATACCCAGATAGAAATTCCTGACCATCATGACATAAATCTATTTACAAACAATTTGCAGGCCATTTGCTGCATAAAATGTCTGCAATATATGTATACATATTGCACAATAAATCTGAAGAAAAAAGTGCGGCAAATTTGGCTCAAATATGAGCTATAGAGGCTGCAATTGTTTATCAGCAATGTGTGAGATAAATTTACTTGTACGCATGCGAACAAAATCCAGACATGTACTTAACTTTCTTTCATATTTAAGTATTTTTGGTTCGTCATCGTGTGGTGCAAATATGAGTTCCAAATGAGGACTCATAAGGTACTCATAACTCATTTCATGATGTTCTGGGGCAAATTTCATGCAAATTTTCCATTCCTTTGTCTACATGGGCAGCTTTTCTAGATACTTCACGACGACCCGGGTTGAACCTTGGTACTTGATTTGATGAAGATGAACTTTGTTTCATATTTAAGTATTTATGGTTCCTCATCGTGTGGTGCAGATATAAGTTCCAAATGAGGACTCATAAGGTACTCATAACTCATTTCATGATGTTCTGGGGCAAATTTCATGCAAATTTTCCATTCCTTTGTCTACATGGGCAGCTTTTTCAGATACTTCGCACCCCGGTTGAACCCGACGAGTTAAAGAGAAAATGTATTAAAAAATGTCGTGGGTGGGGACCTTGCATACACGCATCCTCTCGGAATAAACTCGCTCTGGCTTCGAGAGGGGCTCGTCCTTAATCTTCTCGCGGCGTTATCGCGTTATCGGGCTTTCGGGAGCCGCGACGCGAAAGCGCGGTCCTCGCAATATGGCGTCGCGCTTCCCATTAACCGAGCGGCCCGCTCGCCCGGAAAGAGCCGGGGATGCAGAGCAGGACAGGCCGGCGAGTGCGTTCCCGTGAATATTCACTCGGGATTATTACGGCGTTCCACTTGCTGGTCGTTGCTGCGCTTCGTTGCTCGACGATCCCCGGTTCCGAGCAGCCGCAGGTGCAGGTGCAGCGCCGGCCTCCCGGATATCTTCGGTCCAAGGCCTCCAAAAAGGGGCCGCCCATTTGGAAACGCTCGATTCCCACGGGATACGCGTTTCCTCCCCTCTTTATCAATCTCCCCCAAAAAGCGACCGGCTCTCGATAACACCTTGACCCTAGACCGCCTTCCTGCTGAGCGCCGAAGACCAGATTTTCTCCATTATTAAGGGAGACCTCTCGTGGCACGGTACCCGAGTTGAAACTAACCTCACTTTAGGACCCTGTAACCTACGGAAGATCTCTTTTGGCTTTATTTTATCCTTTACTTCCTGGTTTACATCTTGTATGCCCTATTTAATGAGAATCAAGTCGTAGTTTAGGGCTATGAGGATGAAAAATGGAAATATCTGCTGCTTTTACGGTGTTATGAGATTTCCTACATTTTTTAAGGGAGACCTCTCGTGGCACGGTACCCGAGTTGAAACTAACCTCACTTTAGGACCCTGTAACCCAAGGAAGATCTCTTTTGGCTTCTATATATATTTATAAATCATTGAAACTAAATATGTCATTGAGATTTTCAAGAAATATTTCAGATATCTTCGAATTAAATCTACAAGAAATCTTAAAAAATCTGTCGCTTGAGATATCTATCAAAGATTACAAAGAAATATTTAGAAATTATTCTATGCTACTAGGGGATACTCGCCGTTAACTCGGAAGTTTCTGTCAAAACTGGACTCTCATTCTCTAGAGTTCTTGTATGCTTGAGAGACAACGAAATGCGTCGGCAGAAAATAAACAGGAGATAGAGGAGGAGAATTATCAGTTTCCCCTCCTATAGGCTCGATCAGCCTCAAGATGGCTGCTCGGCCGACCCCGTAAAATATTCGCCCTGGAAAATATTCCGAGATCAGAGGAAGCGATTTTGCCCCGTGGCTCATCTCGAGGTTCATCTCGAAAGTCTCTTTCTCCTACCCTGAAGAGATCGCTTCCTCCAGAGACCTGGGAAACGCCCAGACTCCCACGTGAGAGATTCCTCGGGGCCATTTATTCTTATGATATATGGTGGAGATCGGCAGTTATGGTTACCACGTCAATTTTCGGGTATCGCCCGGCTCGACAGAAGCCCTTTTAATAGACTCAGATTCGCCGTGGCGGTGTCACTTGTCATCGTTTCGACGTAGTTAATTCCATTAGATCTCACGCCGACACCGTCGAGTCATCCTTGATCTTCACTCGCGTTGTCTCTTCGACAACCTCCTCCAGTCGCTCCCATTTTTTTTTTTTTTATAGAGTTCATCTATGGCTTTGCCGAGCTCCCATAACCCTTTGAGGCACGGAATTTAAGATAATAAAAAGGCCCGTGTTGCGCAGAAATTTTATTTCTTTTTTAATTCAACAAAGTTGGTTTATTTTTACTAATAAGGGAATGACACAATATAAAAACATGAGAAAATAATAATTCAATTGAGTTTCTTGTTATAGGGTGGGACTCTAATAGTCCCACCGTGCGTATTCACGCATTAACCCATTTGCATCATTGGCGTATATGTACGCTCAATTTTACTGGTCACTATCATTCAGCCTGAAATTTGGTGATAAGGAGACCCTCTTTCTTCATACTTCCTTATGATGCAAATGGGTTGAAAAGGTGGGACACTTTTAACACCACCGTGTCTCAAAGAGTTATTGCTCTCTTCGTGTACTCGTTGCTTTGTTTAAAGCATTCTTTCGACATCTTTCTGTTATAAACATTTTTTTCATAGCGTTCACGTATCGCCTTGTTGCATTTAAGGTGATGTGAAAGTGGTGTTAGACAGTTCTTGTTCATGAAGCTTTTTTCTAAACTGGGAGTAGTGAATCTTTTCAAGCTCTACAACGTGAATATGGGCTATAAAGAAGGTCCTGAAACTCGCGAAATTTCAATTTTTTTTGTTCTTAATTTCTTCATAGATATTCTTAAAATTTATTATAAAAAGTGAAATTTCATGAAGGTCTGGACCTTCCTAGTCGCATTTCAAATTCCAGTCTCATGACGAGACTTGCAAGTTCCGCGAAAGAATGACGTCCATTCGAGTGAACAATCTCCGGTAAATATTAGCTGGCATAATCTATCGAACCATATCCGAGCGGAAACGGAGAGAAGGCAGAGGTCCGAGGTTCACGAGGAAATCGTGACGAGTCGAGGAGACCGCGATTATTTCAGTCGCGTTCCCCTAGGAAAGTTACTATCCTTTCGACTGAATTCGTTCACAATGGACCCCTTTTAACGAGCCCTCGACGGATCTACGGGTACTCAATGGGCGGTATCTTATGTGGGCCTATGGTGGTATCTATGGACAAGTCGATACTCCGTCAAAGAGACGACTTCCAATTTTCAGGCGAGTTCAGATTCCCAGGAATTTTTCTCGGGATGTTTTCTTTCATAAAGAGACACTTTCCGGAAAATAATCAGATGCTGCGCGGTCCAAGCGACTTCATCTTTTGTGGGCTTAGACATATCCATGGACGTGTTGGTACTCATTCAGCAGAGAAAAGGCGAGTTCAGATTCCCAGGAAATGTCTCGAGATGTTTTCTTTCACAATGAGCCACTTTCCGGAAAATAATCAGATGCTGCGCGGTCCAGGCAACTTCATCTTTTGTGGGCTTAGAGATATCCATGGACGTGTTGGTACTCATTCAGCAGAGAAAAGGCGAGTTCAGATTCCCAGGAAATGTCTCGAGATGTTTTCTTTCACAATGAGCCACTTTCCGGAAAATAATCAGATGCTGCGCGGTCCAGGCAACTTCATCTTTTGTGGGCTTAGATATATTCATGGACGTGTTGGTACTCATTTGTCAGAGAAAAGGCGAGTTCAGATACCCAGGAATTTTCTCGAGATGTTTTCTTTCACAAAGAGACACTTTCCGGAAAATAATCAGATGCTGCGCGGTGCAGGCAGGCAGATGCATTTGTCGAGACAAACCGCTCTTTGTCTCGCAGAATTTAATACTTCAACTTATATGAGCTTAGATATCTCCATGGACACGTTGATATACTCACTGATCAGAGAAAATGCGACTTCAGATTTTCATGAAATTTTCTCGGAATATTATCTGCAGAAGGGGTTTCATCCTTAGAAGCAAATCCCGTTTGGTTCACCGAAAACGTTTCAACTTCATCCTGAAGGACGTAGACATCTCTATAGATCCGTCGATACTTGACAAGTGAAGAGTTGGCTTGGAATTTTCATACGAATTCGGATTTTTCTGAAAATATCCTCCCCCAAGAGCCACTTTTGGAAAGACTCAGTTCATCTCATTCATTTGAAAAGACGCAATTGCATCTGCAGATGCAGATCGCGCTTTGTCCGCGCAGAACTCGCTTCGGGGGCGTCTAGATATCCAACATCCTGTTTCGTTTGGTCGCACGATAACCCTTTCTCTCTCTCCCCTTCGCTCCCTATTTTTTTCTCTCTCTCTCTCTCCGA